GGTTTTCGGTTCAAAAGTGATAAATCGAAAAATGAACAAAGATTTAAAGAACTCTTGAATTAAGAGAGAAAAAAAAAAAACTTTTTGTGCAAACGAGGTATTTATTGGCATTTTTTTGCCATTGTAATTACTCACATTGACACTGTGATAGCAAAAAGATTGACGCTCCACGTACAACGAGATATAAAAATCACTCTTGACGATACGATACGAAGTCTTATAAAAAAACGTAAGCTCACGGTGCGAAAAAGAAAAGATAGAACAGAATGATACATGATTATCCATTTGTTTCTAAACAAAGTTTCATTCACATCCACACAGTGAACTTGGTTCGTTTGAGCAAGTGCTTTTGAGTGCGATTAAGAATGGCAAAAGAATGCGAATAAGATCGAGTCAAAAGAACAAAAAGAATACAATCATCCAAAAAAAAGCAAATAAAAACGTATGAATAAAAGTTCTTGTGTCTGCTTCTCGATTCCATAGTAAATATAATCTCATTTAATTCACTTCGTTTGGTTATTCTGTTCATCGTACAACTCAACAAAAGAAATTCGCCAAAGAAATAGTACACTCGTCACATAAACAAGCAAAAGCAACGTAATGCGATGAGCTAAATGCGACCAACGACAAGCTGAATCGTAATCACAATCGTGCAGTCTGTAATTGTGCAATTTCACATGTGTATGTAATGTGAATACAAACGTTTTGTATTTTCAAAGTAACCAAGCACACACCGCAATTACATCAACGCATCTCTCCGAGTGTTGTAGCAACGACGACATTGGAATCTTTCATATCCATCGTGTTTTTTAAAGTGAATCGTTTGTCAGGTGTACTATTTCAGCGATGTATTTATAGTATTTATTACCATTTTCCGACCGATTTCAATTCCATCCAGGGAATTCGAAACTCAGCAATATCATATATCGCATTGAAAATAATTTTCACGAATTTTCCATCCGATATTTGTTTTTTTCATGTTCAAAAATTGAACGTCGTAATCCCAAATGTCTTTTTGTCTGACACCCGACAAAATATCTAAAAAAAACCGTTGATCGAATGCAGCTGAAATTGAACAGTGCTGCAGGATGAAATTGATAGAGTTCATTGCATTCCAGACAATTTATTTGCTGCCAATTTGCTTTTTTTACATATTCCTTTAATTCGAATGCATTTAAAAACAAAATGCAAAAAAAGCAGCATCCAAAGAGCTGCGATGTATCAATGCAGCTCAGGCGTCGGCTTTGATATGAATTACCAACGTTTCAAATTTGCTCGCGGTTTTTTGCATTCACCGCGAATCAACTAACAATTCAATTTATTGTTATTTACTCATATACATTTTGGTGGCGCGAGAGAATCAAAGAGAAAGACTATGTGTGCGATGCAGTTTAAATGCAGCATAGTTTCTATTGTTTGTGGAAGCTGAAACGAATCAAGATAACGGTTTTAAAAGCACACTCAGTTGCATTAAATCCAATTCCACCATCGTACTATTTTTTATCTTTATAATTTTATTTTCCATTATTATCATTCTTGTGCGATGCTTGAGTTTAATACTCTTGAATAGAGAAAAAAAGATTATGAATTGAGAGTATTAAAGTGAAGAATGTTTACCAATGTACATTTGCCTGACGGAACGAAGCAAATCGGCTGGTTGGTTGGCTGACAGTAGCTGCAAGCAATTTAATATTTAATGAATCATCCAAATGAAATAGAGACCATAAATGGAATTTTGTTAAAAGTGTAGTCTCACCCAAACTCATTTACGAGCACGGTACGCTCACAAATCACATTTCACAGATCGCTGAACATGTGTCTCCATCGCTGAAACTCTTTGATGAAAACACCATGACTTTTTTTCAATTTTTTTTTCGAAAAATATTAAAAGACTGTCCGTTCGAAACTAAGTCGCACTTAATTTTTGCATTTTCCATATAAGCCAACAACACTTTTCAAAAAAAAAAACGGCCGAAAAAAGACAGCATTGAAATGTTGAAAGATTGTCCGGACTAGCATATGTGCATGAGTAAGCTTAAAACATATGAGAAATATCACTTGACGATGGATTGTGGAACTTTGAACTTACGATGAATGAAATATGCTTGAAAAAATCTACCATGACATAAAGCCAACGATGTCACTTTGCCAAGTGAATGGGATGGGGAAAAAAGAAAATCGATGAACCAACTTAATGGAAAATTCACATTCACACAGAGTGCAGAAAGATATTCTTCTAAAAATGCTTTTTTTTTTACCGCCCACTCCATTAGCTACGGAAAAATGAAAATGCTCTGAATGTCAATTTTATAAAATGTGAAAAAGAACAAAATATTCTGGAGTGATATTTACTCAAAGTGAAAGTGAAAATTTGAACTAAAATAGTACATCTCCTGTCGCAATCATTTCAGTTCAATCGATTATATGAGCCCTTCCTCCTTCCTCTTTTCTCTCTCGAACTTTTTTCTTTCTCGAAACGTTGAACAGAATTTCAATTTTGAATAACGGGAGAATTTTGAGTGGAGTTCGTGGAATTATTTATGGAATATTATTTTATCTCGGTGTGCTACTCTAGAATATATATATGTTCGATGTCGAAATCAATTCAGTTTATTGAACCGAACAAACGAACGACTGACACTAATGCATTCTGAAGAGCATGCATTACGTATAACATTATTAAAATATTTGCGTTTCGAGGACGCAGCAGCAGTTCAATCACATGCAATAATCGAGTTTCATTTCGAATGTGAAAACTATTGCTAACCGTAACCGCTTGATTCGAATGAACCGCATTCAATTACATATCACACCAATCCGACTGCATTTTCAAATAGGCAATATTCTAATCATTTGTGATTTGCAGCATTCGTATAACACCAGTAATTCACATTAATTTGCACAGTCTCTTTCATTGCTTTACATTCACTCATGACAAATGCTCAACTAAAGTGCAGTCCCATTCACCGAGTTGCAAATTAAAAATGCATGCATTTTGCCCAGACGGTTGAATTGACAAATCGAAAATTGTTGACGTTAATTGGCTGAAAAAAAATACACAAAACGATTAATTTTACGATAGAAAGTATTCCAATTTAATTTTTCAACTGAAATAATCTCATGGTGTTTTTTTTTTTTTGGTAAATTTAAAAAGTACTCCAATTATGCCAAAGACAGAATACGGAGAGAGAGAAAAAAGCACACGCTTTGAAAAAAGCACACGTTTTCTTTTTCAAAATCATCACTTCGTGTGTATCAGAGCGGCAAAAAAACCAAATCAAAAACAAAACGATATTTAAACGATAAATGGGTTTTTAAAAGTACAATCTAGAAGCAGTGCGAAGAAAACAAAACAAAAATTAGAGAAATCGATGCTTGTGTGTGTGTGAGATATCAATAATAATGAAAGTTGTTGTTCTCTCTTGTGTTTGAGATCATGAGATGGAAATTGTTTTTGAAGCGAAAAAACAAACAAATAAAACGCACAGTGCACGGGAAGTAATCACACTAAAACGCAGTGCAAATAAATCGTGCTGAAAGTGCTTAGAATTGAAAATATTTCATTGTCAATCGACGATGTCAACGCAGATAGCACGTCAAACGGTTATCGCTGAGACATTGATTTTGATTGCGAACATCGAACAACTGAATATCTATTTTCTATCATCGTTATAAGGCCATTGAGATTTTATTGGCTTCCCTACCGTCAAGCGCATTCATTTTGCATGATAAACACAACTTCAATGTTGTAACAACGAGTGTATTACGTTGAACTATAAAAGTTAACAAGAAGTCGTTTAAAGTTAGTTTGACGTTTTAGCGAAGCAACAATGCAGATAAAATCATCCACAACGGTTCTGTGCACTAATAAGCATGGTATGCGAAGTATGCCTGTGATTCTCTGCTGCAAAAAGAAACGCACACACATTCACATGCATTATTGGAAGCACACGACAGGAAGCAGGAAAATTAAACAAAACTCAACAACATTTGACGACGTACGGATGAAAAACAAAAGCTGATCAGGACGCCGTGCCGAGAGAGTATGATGGTAGCCATGACAACGCTTAAATAAAATATTTTTCTTCATGTTATGTTCGCAAAATTTACGAGATGCATGCCACATCAAATGCCTTCGAATGCAGAAGAAACAAAAGAGAGATCGTATCATGCAAGCAACATTAAAGTATTATAAACATCTTTTACATCGCGTAAGAGTCTGTCTGCTCGAAGATAATGAAACTCACAGAGCTCTCTTCTTCATCAATGGTGACTTCACAAACAATTCATTCTCTTATCCGAGAGAATTGTTTGCTTTAACGAAGACAAAAAAAAAAATGAATAAAATATGTACAAAAACACAGTCATTTTTTTCTCGTTCTATTGCAAATTCTGATTGTTGGGTTTTGCAAGATAATTAAGCATTCAGTTTTTGTGCACTTTGGCGTCGTCGCTTCAGAATAACTGATTTTTCCGCCCTAATAGTTTACGTTTTTTTCTTCTTCATAATATTGTCGCGCACCTCACCCATGTGCACATTTTATTCTTTTGTGCCCACATGCCACGAAATCTACCGTTTTTTTTTTCAGTTTCAGTAATACAAAAAAGATGCCGTTCCAATTTGCTTTTTGACTGGCGGCAAAACTTCCACCTACATATATCAAGAGAAAAAAAAGTGACATTAAGAAGATTAAAAAAAAAATGTTTACGACTTTAATGACAGTCGTGTTTATGATTTCTATTGAAAATAAATTGTAAAAAATATCTTTAAATTGGCCTATTCAAAATTCACAGCAAACATGCCCACTGAATGGATAATGTGTTGAAGTATCTAGTGTTCAAGGTTGAAAATGAATATATGTCATTTAAAAATGTGTTTATATGATGCCAAAATCAGCCAACCAATTCAAACAATTACCATTTATGAAAATAATAAATTGCCATCGCATTCATATGGATTCAGTTCTAATTGTTTTGTTTATATCTATTGTTTATTGCAGGACTGATGCGCCACATTTTTTGCGACCGCGTCGTATGCCACTTGGATCCGTTGATTCGGAAGATGGAAATGCACTTGTCGACGATGAGCTACACAATCTATTGCCGGGCACACGAGAGGTATCAGCCGATGATTTGAGTCAGGTACTTAACATTCCATTCAACAAATTAAATTAAATTTAATATAAATTTATTGAGAGGTGTTTAAGCCTTTGGCATTTACTAAACGCGAAGGGCGTTTGAAATACATTTTTACCTGAATAAATTGTGCTTGAATGATTTGCCTTTGTTCACTTAATTTGATTGAAATTCTATTGCAAATTTAGTTTACTTCAACGCCAGAGATTTACAAAATTGTAAATCTCGTTAGTTATGTTGCGGTTTATGGGATTTTTCACTCATAAATTGTTAAGCAATCACCTGAACGAAATTAAAGTATTCCGATTTTCTTGAAAACCATCACAGCGTAAAACTCAATAAAAGTATCTATTCAAAAGACATGTAATCACTTGGGTCTTATATAGGTTTGTATGCGACAAATATTCAATTCACGGTAATAAACGCAACGCGAACCGTTGGTGTGTTCGTTTTCTATGAAGCACTTTGTTACGTCAATTATTTTATACTCGCTCCTATTCATCACCATTTAAATCGAGTTATTCTAGCCTATTTATGGCTCGCATCTAATATGCATTTTACCATAAACTCGTCGCTGGAAATGGAGCAAGGGAGAATAAAGTATGGTGAATGATAGCGGAAACTAAAAAAAACGTTGAAGAAAACTAATAAAAATTGAATTTATTAGATTTAATAAAATGATGTTCGTTTTTTCTTCATCTAAAAAGGCTTGAGCATGAATGCAAGCGCGTTTGTTTCTCTTTTATCGAACCACTTCTTTTTATATTGCGATACAATCAACTGTGCTACAATTTTAAACTGTACAAAATTGTGCTACCGTACGTTATTTACACTCTTGCTCGATACACTCTTGTCGATTGTGATATTTCCGCTTTGATGCAGCACTAGAACGTTTCAGATAAAATCGACGCCAATAATATTCGGATGGAAGTTTGGATCGGGCACAGACAGAAAAAGAGAAATTTATTTCAAACATGGAAATAAATTCGATCAATGGAGTAATGTAAAATGTATTTTATGCCCTCCTCTTTGATTGATTTATGTAAAGTTTTTCTCCATCGCCCATTGCAAAACTTCGGCAATCGAGGTGAGGTGCCTTTGATTTTATCAGGCAAAAGGATGCAAAACGTAAAGTTTGCTGGTGCCTCAGTCAACGCCATTGTACAGCAGAAATACGTACGGACATTGTACAGCAAAAATCAAATCAAATGCCTTTTTTATATCAAAGTTCACCTTTTACGTTTCCAGTTTGATGAAAATGTACACGAAGGGTCAGTGAAAAATTGAAAGAGTTAGACTATACAAAAAAAAGTCGAACGAGTTGATTTTCCCTCATGACCGAAATACAAAAAGTTTTACCGAGTTCAAAGCAACAAAGAATAATTGTTTTGACATTGTAATTCAGAAACAACAAATTGTTGTGTAAATTTGATCAACTTTTTGACTCCCAACCGAGCTCATTAGACTAAAAAATATTCTTTTGCATGGTCTTGGTCAATTTGCAACAAAGAGACTCTTTATTCAAATGGAAATTATGTGACATTTCAAATGCTACAAGGTCCTATTCACCTGCAAATGATGATGTAAAATGCAAGTCACAACAAATATTGAATTGAAAAAAAAATCCCAACTAGTTCTTGGCGCATTCATACGAATTACGAAGCCATACAAAGTGAGTTTGAAAATCCCAGAATGTGTTTTTCACCACAAAAAATATACATAGACGTAACCAATTTTTTTTTCGACGTAATTTAAAAGCCAAAGTGTTAAAACACATTTGTTGCAAAATAATCCCTTCGGAAAATATTTAAGCCGATTTTACCTTGGATGAGAATAAAAATTTACAAACATTTACAAATGTGTGGTATTATTTTTACTCTGTGTTTTGTTTCTGTTTGGCTTAAAAAAACATCACAAACGAAAGTGAATGCGACTTTTGAGCACCATTTTATAATCTGCAAATTTGATGCTTTTCAAGCCCTAATACCCTTTTACCATTTGCAAGCAACCACAAGCGCACATATAATCAAATGTAATTTGTGCGTGTGTGTTGGGAGGAGTTGTGTTTTTGTTAAGCCAAAATGAATTGATGTGTCTTATATATACATTAGAGTGGAGCATAAAAAGGTGTTTTAATCAAACAGAAGCACCGCATTTTATTCGGGGGAAGGGGTGGAAATCCTTTCAAAAATTTAATAAGCATACACCACTGTCAGTCGATACGGTGACACGTAGGAAATGGATAAAAGCATCTGCTTAGGCTTGTGAAAAGCTTCCGTTTCATGTAAACAAAATCATAATTCTAATGGGACGCTTTGTTAATATCGGGGACTAGTAGCTCATTTGCCATTCAAAATTCATCATCACAGGCTCACGTTATTATTATTATTATTATTATCAAAGCAAAGTCAACACGGAAATGAGCGTATCCATAACCAACATGTTAAAAGACTCTACATAATTTATGCAATTAATTCACATCGATGTCATACCTTCTCTTCATTTTACAAATGACACAATCGTCAAACCATTGAGTATATTCGATGTGAATCATAATGTTTAATCGCCTTAAAGGATTCTACGTGCATCGCATCTATATAAATAATCAAAAAGAGCATTATCATTCATAAATTTAATGCGAATGTAAAAATTTTCGCAATAATCGGATCAATAGATGACAAATGGGTTCTAATTAGTTAATGTGATTGAAAACCATCGAAGTGGAATATTTTGAGTGGAAGAAATAGCACGTGTAACAACACCACATATTTTGCATAAAATATATTAATATTGTGGGAGGTTACTGGAAAAAATATTCCCAAAATGCACATCGAATGGAACCGATTTTTTAAACATTAAATTGAAATGAAATAAAAATCAATAGTAAGATAAATGATCGACCAAATCAAAATATGCAAAGTACTTTCTCAGCTCAAGCGATATCGCGTTTTTTTCATTTTTTCGTCTCGCATTTCAATGACATTTTCATTACAATCGTTGAAAGTGAAATGATGACTGATTACTTTGAGATCATTATTCTGCAGAAAAACCGCAACACTCTGCGGCATCATGCCATTTTTCTTTTTGCAAAAAAAAAAACCAAGTGTACATCCAACCACAAAATTACATTTCTTACCCCAATTCGTTTAGTGTTTTGCTCATAAATGCGTCTCGTGCATCAGCTGCCAACTTAATGTCGCCCATTTCTCATATATTGCGAAAGTTTTGCAGACACTAAGTCAACTGCGAAAGCGAAACGATGAAAAGTGAAACATACTGGAAAAGTGACAGACATTGTTTCATGAAACCAAAATTATTTTCTTATTGTTTGTACTGTACATTGTGCAAGACAACGCACAATTTACACACGAAACCTAAAATGGAAGATTGTTTTTATGCTTTGTAGTTGATAATCGCGTGAGATGAATAATGGAGTTGCATTGAAAATGTAACATGAAAATGGTGTTTAGGCAACGATTTACAAAGCTCATGCTTCCGTTTAGTGTGATATATAGAGATAAAGTTGGCAGATGCTATATACGCACATTTATCCGTAACAACAATCGACTTTTTCACCACTAAATTCGAAGAGTTCATCGAAAAACATTTGCTCATTTGTTTGCTCATGAAGCATCATTTATATTCATGTTATCGTTTACGAAGCTCAAACAAAAGAATGAATTCACAAAAGCGCCCCTAATAAAATCGGCCGAGAACTGGTACTGCCTCTTCATGTTTACACAAGATTAAAAATAAACGCAAGCAAAAAAGAAGAGCGATGAGAGATGTTTGTTGAATGATTTTCACCCAAACAACAACGTTTTCTCGTCACTTTTGAACGATATACCAAAACAACAAATTGGTTTTCGCCGAAGAAGCAAAGTGCAAACGGAAATTCGGTACTACCCGTATCTTTTTAAAATGAAAATACACATTTGTACAAATGAAATGTTGACACGCGATACCATTCTCTTTTTCACGATTATAAACGTCGTCGTATGCGTAATGAAATGTTGGATGTTGTTAAAAGTTTATGCGACCCCCAAAATGATACCAGTTCCATATGCAAATACAAGTAGAAAAAAACAATCACAATGGAAAATCAAGTCACAGTGGACGCGTGTGTGTAGATAACACGACGATAAAATACGATTGATTTGCGATGCGTGTGATAAAATTGATTTTGATTTCCGTCGTCGTGCACGTCGAATGCGAAAGAGGATGAAAGAAAATATATCACTGTGGCGATGATTTATGCGACGGAATGTCGCTGGATTGATTGTTATTTGGGCGCCGAAATCTCATCTATTGATTCAAGGTTCATCAGCCCAGGCATCAGGATGTTGACCGATTTACCCTACGGCTACAGACTGTTGTATCTTCTTTTTTTCGGTATCGCCGTCATCCAACCAAATGAGACAATCGAATTTAATATTCACTACGTGCAATTGATGCCAAATAAAGACCAAGCGAGAAAAAAACACGAACAGCAAAATGAATATCAATACACCACACGCAGAACAGATGGTAAAATGACGAATGCGAGGCCTCTTTAAAGCCTCGATATACAAATATTGAAAAAGTTTTTTTTTTCGCATCACAATAATTTTGATCGTCGCAATGCGTCTAGCATTTCTAATGCAATTTATTGAATGAAGACGGCAAATCAATGTTTGATTTTGTCGTTATCGAATTTAAGTCGATATTCTTCGATTTTTCTTTATCGCACTTTCGCATGAATGGCATGAATAAGGAATATTCTTTTCTTGGATGAAAAACACACTCAAACTATGACCAGTGTAAATGAATGTTATTCCAGAAGATTTTTCAATCGACATTTCTTTTTTAAATTTATTCCGTTCCAAATACTGATTGACAATTCGAAAAAGGAAAAGAAAATTCTTAAATCCACTAGCTTGCTATTGAATGTTTATCTTGGGAATCTGCAGATGACGAAGGATTCAAAGGGAATATTGCAAAGCAAAAAATATATATAATATTCAACTTGATTTCCAATCATATCCATACACAAATTCAATTATTGAACATTGACATTTCCTCCCTTTGGAATAGTGTCATAAGCGAAATAGTTTGAAAAGTGCTGACATTGTCTATATTATTGAAGTGAAATGTCAAAATATGACATTTTTCAATCCTTTTCCTCGTCATTAACATAGAAACTTCGTCGAAAAGAAGTGGATCGTTTACCAATACCAATTGCTGTATAAATAAATCACTGTTTCCATGTTCAATGTTTCAATGTCTATCTAATGTCGTTGACGGATTCCAAAACAAAGTTTCATATTTACGTAATAAATCACAGTATTAGCAGAGTAAATGTTTTTCTTGTCGTTGTCTACAGAGCACAAAAGAAAAATGACTTTCCAACGAAACGTTCTTACGATGTGAGTCAAAAGAAATCGGTTCGACTTCATTGGTTCTTATTGTAGTATGTTTTGTGAACACGGAAGTTTTTAGTCGGAAATATCCAGCGAGTTTTCTTTTTGTTACAGTTCAGTTCTACCAAAACAAAAATTAATGTTCCACAAACAAATATTACAAAGAAAAATCGGAACGATTGAGGTTGTTTCTAAATGTGATTTCAAAACGACCAGAGTGGATTACGCTATTCTTTCAGAAAAAAAAAACAACAACTTGACAACATTTTAGTGTAAGTTAGAGAAAAAATGTGACAACAAAAACTTCAAATGATGCCATTTTCTCTCTGTGGCTCGAATATGAACGTGATTCTTATAATCCTTGCTCAATGCTCATTTCGAATTGCAATGTTGTTTTTTATTTTTATTTTCAATAAAGTTTTTTTATTTCCATCGTTTGCCGCAAATTGAAAACCCAGACGAATCGATAAAAGCCTTTGCTATAAAAGTGTACTCACTCGAATCGACCGAAATGAGAATATGAAAAATAATGAAAAGAACTCAAGGTCTACGTTTTTGTGTTTATATTGATAAAAACCAAGTGAACCGAGTAAAAAAAAAGTTCAAAGTTCGTGTTTATTGTGATATTTAAACTTTGTTGTTCGATGTTTTTTTTTCTCGCTACAACCCTCGGTCGTTATGCAGTGCGAACACATCAGTTTAATTAACAAAGATTTTTCTGTTCTTGTGTCGCATGCTCAGCATTTTTATCAGATAAAACACTCGTTTGGTCTTTTTTTAGAACAAGACTATGGCAGGGAATGGAATTTATATTTTTTTTTCATTCCCTTTGAAATTTCCGGGATAGCGACACAAAGAACATTGGATCAAAAGTTTTTGCATGTCATTTTTTTAAAAAAAGAGAGCGAAATTATTCTTTTAATTAATAAAAACAACAAAGAGGTGCAAAGGAGGTTATGAAAACCATATTACCCTCGAGAGACACTCTTTCACACACAATATGATACTTGCTTTTCAGCAATACATCGTTAAATTGCTTTGAGCTTTATGAAATAACACAAGCGTCGCCTCACAAAAGCTAATCAAATTGCTTTCAAGCTGTTCCATGTCATTCTTTTCTCATTTACCCATTGAAATGGCACATTATAAGGATTTCATATTAGATATATATCATAAAAGGAATACTTTAATGGTTTTACGATTTCTATTTATATTCTATGTTGTTCTTATTTTTGATTTCAGTCACGTGCATCGTTGGTGTCAAGTTCAGATGGCGGAATTTTGGCCGAGGGCGAAACATCGTCGAGTGAAGCCTCTGGAGACTCAACAAGTCCACCATGTGATTTAGGTCTATACGAACGTTTGCTATTAACACATCCAGTTTGGTTTCTGCCAGGAATACAACGGGCCGGTGCTGTTCATTTGCTACAAGGCAAAGAAGAAGGGGTAAGTTTTGGACGTTGACACACAAATCACAATAAATTCTATTATAAAATGCCTATACATTATGTAGAAACTAGCACATAAAAGCGTACAGTATCGATTTTTCTTTCACATTATTTCGCTTTTGGTGTATTTTTGCATCGTTTTATAAATAGTCACAGTTAATATTCAGCGATAAAGGACTGCTGTTTAAAGCTAAATTACAAAAAGTGTCAAAATGGACATGACAAAAAAGTTTACACACAAATTGTTCAAGTCAAGTTTTTTTGATAATAATTCCCTTTCATAATGTTAATTAATTTGATTATAAAGTTTTCCAATGGCGTTGAAATGGAATATTTTTTCCATTAAAAATAAGTGCACATAACATTCTCGTTTACAGTTGAAAATGTTTTCAATTGACTGCATTCCAACAATGTTATCTTCATGTCACACACGTTGGATTTGCATTGGAAATGAGTGCTGTTTCCTCGATATAACCGCATCATCGGTTTCAGTCGATTATTTAATTATTTTCGAATACAGTTGTATTTAGTCGCCTGCGGAGCTAACACACACATATTACCGCAGTCTACCGCACATTTAATCCATATGAATGTTGTCAGTATTGTTTTCAATGGCGTCAACAATGATTGAAGGAGTCATTTCAAATGCCGATTCATTGACACATGCATTGAAGTGGAAAATAGAATACAGCCGTGTGTCTAATATGAGAAAATGGCAAACATCGACCATAAAATCATTTTTGAGTTTGTGGTTTTAAGGCGTTGCCATTCGTTTTTAAAGTTGAACATGTCACATGTTTCTCTTAAAAATTGATTTCGAGCCGAAATTGTGAGAACATATTGATGCGATTTAATTAAAATCAGAATTCGGTGATAAATCACACTTGGAGCAATGGAGCATTGTAGTGTGTATGACACTCGTCGCATTTGTAAGCGTGACAACTGTACGCATAATTTGAATAATTCGAATCAGACACAGATGCATTTGAATTTGTTCGAATAAAAACCAAACACCGTCTGTAAAGCCTTTGTAATTGAATCTTTCGCAACAATCAAATTCGTTAAACAATAGCCTTTGTCAAATATTTGTTTGCAAATTGAATTTGCAATAGCCTTAATCACATGCGTGAATAGAGAATGCAATAGAGAATGGGCTGTTTTGCAAACAGATATGATTCGTTCATTGTTTTTCGGTTGGATTTACAGTAAATCCGATTCATATGGTAAATTGTTTTATGTTTTGCACGCAAATGATCCCATTTGCTGAATCGTTAGTTGAATAAATATAAAATGCGTACATGACAGAAATCCAATTAAAAATTGCATTCGTTAACTCAACAACGGAAACTCTGATGATACCGACGTTGCGCACGAGATGAAAGATTTGAAGATGTGTAATTTAATTTTTACTTTCAACTTAAATTTGATTAAACGTTTGGAGTCAAACTAAACTTTCTAAATTCCTGTTTCGTGTTTCCGGCAACGCAAGCCCAGAAAGTCCGACGCAAAATTGTTGCGTAGTTGGCGAGCATCCTGTGTCTATGTTTATTTCACATTTGATTACAACATCTTGGATACGGTGCAGAATTTTCTTCACCTCCTTCACATATTATGATTTTACGATGATTTTACATTTATTTATTTATTCGCTTGTGTTCACTTGACTCACATACAATGCAAATGCAAGAAACTAGTTTAAATTTGCATAAAATTATCGCATCATCTTTTATATGATGGTTGATATAACGGCATTTGAAGAATCATGCAATTTAATATGCGTAACAAAATCTATTTGATGGAACAATGCATGCAAATGACATAAATAGACAAATGCAATTTACGCGCCCGATTTATGGAAACATGCAATACAATTCCAAAATCTACGGTGTTTTCTGATTTTGCTGATTAATTCCACGCTCTGACTTTAATGATAGATTGGCAGCCGCATATTAGATCTATAAATCAAAGGCATCAGATCAGATACTGCATCGACATTTGAGATGATTTTGCTACTTCTCGGTTACGCCAGCCAATGCACATAAAATCTAGATGCGTGGAAATTGTACTTTTTCGCTCTCATTTTACTCTCTTTCTCTCCCTCTATTCCTCTTTTATTCTTGAAAAGTTTATCGTGACATGAATTTTATTCTAGTTTAGCACCTGATTTATACATCACGATCGCCGATGGTTTTTGGAACGGAAATTGATTTAACAATCTAGTTCTCGTTTTCATAAACCATCATCAATTAAATTGTACCCATCGATGCTGAATTCCGATTGGTTTTCTCTCATTAACATTGCGACCAATCAAACACATATGTGTTACACGTTCAATGATTGATTACATTTAATATGCCGTCGACATTGATATTGATTCAATTACGGCATGAATTTGTTATTGATCAACGCACAAGCGCATGGCCAATATCATTTGAGATATCAATTTATGATTAACTCATAACGATGCTGAATTACGTCGCACGTATATAAAAAGTCAAACACATTTGTGTCTCGAAAAATGACGATAGGAAAATGAAAAAAAAAAAATGGTATTTGAAATCAATTCGAAGTGACAGCCACTGGACAAATGGTGTAAACACACGCGTTAATGTGCCATGGCTCACAACAAAACAAAAAACTTAGTACCATATTGGCCACGATGTGCTGGTAATTTACTGCCCATTCTAAAACTCGGCATCAAAAGAAAGTTGCATGTACCCAACAAAACAAAGCCAACAAACCGTCAAATACATGCGGATACACATTTTTTTTCGTGTTATTTATTTTGCGATTAATTATAACTTTGTTTCTGTTGCACAGCATTTCATATGTACAGAAATGCTACGAAGCGACCAATTCAATGGCACGGTAAAAGTGTGCGCATAAACACACAATGAATTCCAAAGAAGCAGAGAATAGAAACAAAAAACCAAGTATAATTCACGGCATTACATTGCGAATCTATGGCGCGTGATGCTAACGAACAACAACATTCAAGTAAAATAAAACCGATCGAAAAGTGTGTGTGTGTAATACAATTCCTCACCGTCTTTGAAATCGTGCACAAATAATTTGCACGCCAAATGCAAACGCTCGGTACAGGCACGAAAAATCTATTGACAAACACAATTTTATGGCATGAACTTATGTGGGTATTATTTCATGATAAAGTTGTCAATAAATCGAACTCATATGCTTTCAGATTAATTATTTTATTATTATCGGCTTAAAGCACAAAACGAAAGTTCTCTAATTATACCGGCCATTGCAATATAACTCACATCAACGCCATTCGTTGCGCTCAACCGTTCTGTGCTACCATTTACATCAATTTCCAATTTTAGTTTGCGGGTACATTTCGGTATGTGCATCGATTGATGAATGCCGATGAAAGGAAACGGTAAAAAGCGAACGGTGCACACGATTACGTTAAGTAACATAAATATATATCTTTTTTTAAACCATTTTCGGTCTAACATAACATGCACCAATGTCTAAACTAACGTTCGAATGACCATCTGTTCGGTTCTAGCTGCTAGTTACAACTGAATTTATTAATTATTTTAATTAAAACAGTTTACGAACAAAAATAGAATCGAATCGAATTTCTTGGAATGAATTTCAAAAGAAATCAAAAGCATTTTGATTAGGTTCTATTCAATGGAAGCTTGAATATACACACACACACTCATCGATGGTTTATTCATGCGAAAAACATTTGCGGAAAATGAAATGGAATCCAAATGTTCGGTGAAGTCAATTTTTCGCATTATATGTGTTTATTCTTCGGTTCGTAATAATCATCAATCAAATGACATATAGAAAAGGTATGGAATGTGGCCAATCGATGAATTCAAGGGGCATCATACTTTTCATACTTCACTGAATGTGATCATTTATATCGTGTTCAAAGAGCATTCTCCAAAAACACATGTTTTGTTTCGCAAAAAAAATGGCACGAATAAACGACAGTATAACATGCGAGTACATACCGACATTCACAGAAGATTTCAAACGAAAGTTTGCGCTTGAAACGATGGTATATGGTCTGAACAGAATTTAATCACTCATAAATATGTTGATTCATTTTTACAAACTGCATTTTGTTCACTCAATTAAAATTGTTGGAACCTTTTTTTCGTTGGCAACAGAAGATGGAAAGAGAGAAAAAACTGGGGCCAATTTCAAATGTGTAATTCGAATTAAAACAAAAATCAACCAGAACCAATTTGAGTTTTTATTTTGCCGTTTTTAATTGTTACAGGCACAGCAGCTAATGCGAAGACAATTCAAAATCCAATAAAAACACAAACGAGAGAGAGAAAAATAAGAAAAAATGACATTTTGCTCCACTTATGGCAATGAATAAAATTTATTGCGCTACAGCATACAAATGACTTTGAAAGCCGACTATAAGATTAATTTTGTTCATAACTTTGAGAGTCATTTTCATTTCAAACATTTCACTTCGGCTCAACATTTCAACGTCAGTGTGTTGATACGTTTTTTTAAATGGTACAACAATTTAGTGTGGAGGCACATTTTGAAATTTTCTAAATTTAGAAACTATCGGGCGTTTTCACTCAATTTCATCGGACTAAAAAATAAAATAAAATGTGTGCGGTTTATAATGTGTCATTTTTAACAATCCTCACTTTTTTGTTGTTCACATTTTAGTCGATTAGCTCTCCTTTCAAGCGATTCGATAGACTCATTTCGAAAGATGACAAATGCTATTAGGGATTGTTTAAATATAGAGAGAACGATAGAAATTGAGAGCAAGTGAGAAAAATTGTTTCAACTTACTAACGACCATCAATATTAATTTAGATATGTAATGGTTTTGAAGTAAGTAAAATTGATAAAGAATTTCCGCATCGCTTGCTTTCATTAAGTGGATAAATCTCGAACGTTACTATGGAGGAGCATATTCGACTCAGCCCCAGACGGAGCTGGTCAAGTGCATTCATGCAAAAGAAACCGTATAATACATAAATATCATTGGTCATGCTCACAGGAAGAGGGTTACCATTTTTTTTATACACAAAGCGACCGTGCGTATATATAGAAATTATGTATCGGCAACAACTTGTTTTATGATGCCTATATCATGAAATTGAATTACAATTTTATGTAAAAATGACAACATCTCCCATCTCATCTCACTCGCTATATCTCTCCCGCTATATCTCTCCCGCTATATCTCTCCCGCAATTGCATACAGTAAGGATGGATGATGCACAGTCAAAATCATGCACATTTATGTGACATCATATATGAATGAAAAACCCAACATTTTCCTGTGAATACTGGAAACGTTTCAGGTTAATGTAATTATTTTATAATTTATTTGCAGAGCCGGTAATATGGTTCCTGTTCTTGTGTAATGTCACACTCATACATGTCCTCATAACGTTTATATTTTGTAGCCATCCCGATGGATTTAAATGCATTACCTTATGAAATGTTTGGCACACACCCGCCCAGCGGCTATGAATAGAGTTGAAAATGTACAAAAGTTTTAAGTGAAACAGTGTCAGTGCTTCGAAAATGTATCGATTAAAAGTCCAAAAATCTACTGTCAAACATGCAAATCTATTCAAAATATACAATTTACCACAGCCCATCAATGTAGTTTGCGCTTGACCAACCAAACTGATTTTATCGCTTCAAAAATTTAGGGAAAAAAGCGATTGACTATTAAGTTTTAAATAAATACAGCAGCTTTGGGAATTGTATGCATGGTTTGTTGGTTATTTAGTCAAAACTTTGCCCGGGCATCGAGGTCTATAAAATCGATAATGAATTTTATTCAGTCATGCATTAGATATTTTTGAAATAAATTGCATACCTACACTACATGGTATGTAAACACCAACATTTGATTTGAAAAAAAGTGTACGCATTGAATAACGATCAATGCTCAAGTGCTCGAGTGTGTTTGCCAATCATACAGGTGTTGAACAATCAACAAAATTATCGATTCATCTTTCGGCAACATTTGAAATAGACATTTCAACAAAGAAAATTCCATTTCCAATAACCAATTCAGTTGCCATTCAATTTTTTTTCCAAAAATGATGCAATCAGTAGTTTTTGTTCTTTGCTGCATTCAATTTGAATGAAAAAAGATGGAAATTCTCATGAGATGTGCATCGAATTGAAAGTAATATTCCGACCGCAGAAACACATCCTGAATGGAATTCAATTCGAATGAACTCACACAAGCAACAGCAACTAGATAGAGACTATACCTTCGGCGATAAAGTCAACAGTCGAGACACTATTATTAATAAAGCCGAATTGGAGTTGGGCGAGTTTTTGTTATATTCGGCAGAGACATTTTCGCTCCATTTAATTCAATACTCGATTAAACCGCCCCGAATATCTTGCATATGATTCAAACACAATCGCTTCAGTCCATACATGATTTATGTTCATCTGCTATTTTCATTGGGTTCCGTTTGATTCAATTCAATGCCGGAGTCAGTGAATGAGTAAGAGAGCATGTGTACAGATTTTCAATGTGCATATTATAATTATTGAGATGGAAAATGTGGCTTTCGGCTGTTTTCGGAATCACAATCGTTTAAACGATGGGGGGGAAACAAACAGTGATTTTCAATATTCGAATGCATTTTTTCCCTCTAACGATTGATACAGATCAGAATTGCATTCGAACACCATTTTGACATTCTGACGATGATGTAGATGTCGCATGCAAATTAGACCAGCAAAAAATCAATATATCGTTACCATAAATCAATATGAACAATGTGATTTTCGGTTACCCATCGTTCACAACATGAATTACAAGCAATGTAAACCCATAGGGCATAGTGTCGATCTCGTTTTCGCGTGTATCGCTTTTAATTATTACACTGTTTTCTCTGCAGCTCAAATAACAGCCGGCATTCGGCGAAATGCGTGATTCATTTGAATAATAAATTGTCTGCATGGAAACAAAATCATTTTAAATCGAAATAAATATCCATGTCCAAATGAATAAATGTAAATATCACGAGAAATGCGCTCATAAACAAACATATTTTTTTAAAAACCATTTCGAAACGAATAAATAAAAAAGTGTCACCAGCAAAGATGTCTCTGGCTTTTCGGCGGAAATATTTTTGCGAATTTCTTTTTAGACCATATTTTATGCGCGTGTTGGATGAGTGTTCATTTCATTTATTATTGCTATTCATAAATAACCATATTTGCAATGAGATTCTTTGTCAATAACATGAAGGCTCTGCATTTTTTTACATCGGAGTATTTCATTTGCTGAACACAAATACATTTTTGGTTGACCGACGATTATCAGGCAACAAAAAAAAAAAACAATGGCAAAAATTCGAGCAAAAAATATCAGAAAAGCTGCTGACTGTGTTTCCGACATTTGACCGGAATAACAATAGATGGTATTTCACGTCACCAACAACTAAGAACCTGTCGCAAAAATTACTGAAACTGATTTATGGATCGGGTACTGCCATCGAACACTTGGAATGCATTGAACTATTTGGTGGTATGGTAAATTTTCAAATAGTTAAAATGCCGTCAAAATCACAAGCTGTTTAAGTTTTTTTTTTTTTTCAAACAGAATAATGCAATTTTCACCAAAATTGTTGCCATTATTTTCATTAAATATGTGGTGCCTTTTTTGTTACAGTTTTCATATTGAAAATATAGCAAAAAACAAGCTGTCGTAAATTGTGTTGAGCGTTAATTTTGCTGAATGCGAATATTAAAATAAATTTACAACAATTTGATGAACGAATAAAACGAATACGATTTTGTACATTAACATTTATTTGAAATTCGTTCGGATGCTTCATTTATATTACGCAATGCAGGCTAGTTTTTTTCAGCACTGTTGTTTTTAAAACCGATGATAAAATAAAACGAATATAATTACGATAATAGCTTTATCTAATTATTTATCGAAATTACCAAATATGTTGGTGTTCATTGGCATTTAGTGGGTCATTCACTGTTCGAAATGCAAGTATTGTATCTTTTTTTCAGTTGTTTTTGTTAAGCAAATAACGAGATTCTCTCTCTCTCGCTCTCAAAAACTTTATTCAATTGAGCGTAGTTTTCGCTTTCAAATATATTTTTATAAAAAAAGTTGCAAAGTAAGTTGATATGAATAGCATCGGTTCGAAAATGCGTTTCACGATGATGCCATCATCAAAAGAGTTAAAAAGCGAAACTAACGTATTGAATTGGAATATTCACGATGCGTAAATAAATTTAAGCCATATTATGTCTATAGCTTTGAAGAAGTGGCAAAAGAAGTATCTTGCGTCAGCATGAATAAAAATAGCGTGCAATGCAACATGTAGCCGATAGTTATAACAAATTTTATTGTGCAATATTTGAATGCACAAAAATGGGTTGTGAATTTTATTTTGGCAAATGGCAATAAAAACAGAAATGCATATCAAAAAGACGGCATTAAATTGAATGCGAAACAAAACAATTATATTTCCGCCAACCGAATTCATCGGTTATAACTAGCCGCCATCATCACATCGTTCTGACTGTGGCATGTTACTATTTCACGCTAAACGCCAAACGTTTTCGCTTAAATGCATATTTTATCAAGTGATTTGTAATGCACAATGAGCACTTGCACTTACGCTTGCACCAAATACGATTTTTAATAAAATTTAATGCGAGAGACAATTTATTTATAACGCTCGTGTACGCAATCTGCATGGCATGGACGAAATGTGAACCCAAACCATATTATTGTCAATGCAAATTTTTGTCTATGTGACGACATTCGAGCTATTTGGAAGTGATGGCATACTCTATCTTCGCTACAAATTGGATTGTCAATATAAAAGTGTACAGTATTTTTTGTCGTCAGATATATTTTTTTTGTTGCGGAAGACAGACACGAGTGCACGACACATTGTATTTACAGAGAACACAGACGCTTGCGATTCGTTGTTAATAAAATTTATACAAAATTTATGTGACGATTTTCAGAATATCATGAGTGGCTGCATAAAAAACATTCGCGTCAACTGCATACGATAAAAGAACGTATTGACAGTATGAAGCACGTCATAAAGTCGATGCAAGAAGACTGTACAGTCTTTGGGAAAAAAATACGAAATTGCATTTTCGAGTATATTTCTCCATCAAGCACAAGTATTTGCATCCATTGTTGCGCGCCCAAACACTTGATACTAGTTCGAAATATATATATATTCAATAATAAACATATTTTAGCCGGTCCCTTGTCAAATAAGATTGATACTGTGAATAATGTTTTTTTCTTTTGAAGAATGCTTCTCAATGCATCAAGCTTAATATTTTGTTTGGTGCGGAATTTGCAGGGCTGTGATGACCAATACATATCGATTTGTGCGCACGTTATCTTCAATTTTATTCACAATCAATCCAGTTATTCAATTCAATCGCTGTTAAATATTTATAACTATTTATTTTCTCTTTTTTTCAATTATTGTTTACAGAATTTCGTTGTACGTGGCTCAAGTCAAGCGAATACAATGGCTGTTTCGGTACGTTTGCCACCAGACACCGGACCCTATATTGAACACTATTTGATATTATCGGAAAATGGTGTACTGAGTTTGGAGAGTTCACGTTTTGAATTTAATTCAATACCGGCTTTGATTGATCACTATGCAAAATGCTGGTAAGTACTCAAATTTATCAGCAGATAATGTGCTCACTTACAAATATGTAATATTTTCTTTTTCTCTTTCTTTCTCTCTTTCCCGCGCTTCACCATCAAAGTGATGAATTACCGGTGCAATTGACGTTGCCGCGAGCATTCCGTGAAGCATCGAATCGTCAGCAACTTGGATCTCTTGCATTGCTTGGCCAGGAATTTTGGCGTTATCCAATGGCGAATCCACGTCCATCAGCAAATACAAGCCCAACACCAGCATCGATTGCATCAAAAACAGAATCCAGCGGCTTGGGTACAACAATGTTCAGCGCAAATCAGCATAAAATCGTGACCAACAGTCAACATACGATTCTGAGTGGCACTGTGTTTAGTCCGGGCACACCATCCGACACCGCATCTAGTCTAAGTAGTTTTACCAGCACTGGCCAGCAAATGTTAAGTCCTGAATCGATCGATAGTGTTATGTTATCGCCAGTCGATCAAACCGGTATCATTGGTAAAACGAGTACATTCAAAACACAGAATCGTAAATCATTGGATTTGGAAAAAATTACAACGTTTTCAAATCGATCATCGCCACCAAACACCGGCAACGATTCAAACAGCAATAATAATAATATCAATAATAATGTATTCAATGAACAACATAACGGTAATAATATTCGCAGTGTACGACCAACACCGCCGAGTACATTGAATGTAATTCCATTGCGAATACCACCAGCCCCACCACCCAGATGGACAAAACCATCATCACAAAGCCCAACCGATTCAATTACACCAACTGCCAGCGAACACATTTCATCAACTAATTTCACAATCACCACAACTGTAACAGAAATCTCGAACAATATTCACAAACAATGCTCACCATTCACCGAGATTTTATCACCAAATGCAAACACAGCGGTATGTATTGTAATTATTGTCTTTTGGCACATGTGTGTGTGTGTCATTACGAACCATTCAATTCAATTGTATTATTCTTTTCGCTCTTGTGTTTACTAGTTCCAAACGATTTCAAAGCGTATGTCACCAGAAGGTGAATGCAAGACATCGGCCGATACATTATCATCACAGGGTTCAAAACGTTGGCAAAGCCAATCAAGCAAAGATTCCAGTCAAAATAATCGAAAAGTTGTATCGCCAACGTCACAAGCGGCCGGCAATCGAACGAAACGTGGCCGTGTACGCAAAGAATCCACACATTATCAAAAATCAGATATTTTGGAATCGCCACAAGTGTATTGTCGCAGCAATCTTGGCGATAAAATAAGCGACTACGAAGATTTGTGGACACCAGAAAATGGTGGCAGCAACACAAGTTTCAACAAAGGACCAGCGCTCTCAAGTTTTCGTTCTGAACATCGACCCGATTTGCTTCCGGAAACTCGTAAGTGTCAAAGAATGTCTTTTGAAAGACGGAATTTTTGGTAACAGATTTTGTTTTCTCTTTGCAGCCACGGTCACATCGTTATCTGAAAATATTTTGTCTCCCGTTGGTTCGATTTCATCGTCTGCTAGTCATTATAATGCGCAAAAATCTATGAAAACGCCAAGCGAACACAGCGCATCGCCAGCATTTGATGATGAAAATGGTGTAATTTTGCGACATAATGCCAAAAATCAAATGGAACAAAATAATAACGATTGTCAAAAATTGAACGACGTATTGAGTCCAACGATGGAAATAAATCGTTTGCAAATCGCAGCCGATTTCAATCAAGAATCAATGTTGCAACAGCCACGAAATCGTTTGGGTTTATTGTTAACGCCAACCACTGAATTCCCATCGCCAATAAATGAATCGACACCCATTCAAACGCCATCGCAAACACATTGCAAACGTGATAGTCCGTTTTATGCGGAACCAGCCGATGCTCTTGCCGGAAATGTTGTGCGACGTTCACAACGTTCAAATTTACTACCGAAATCTCAACGCCATTCGGAACCACCGAAAGCACAATCGCGATTCAATAATAATACACAGTTTTGTCAAGTACTTTCACCCATTGATTCCGAGAAGAGTCATCACATATCTGGCTCACTGGACGAACTGAAAAAGAAACCACGTAACAAACCGATACGCAGTGGTCGTCTTGATCCATGGCCCCTAGATTCGAGCTGGGAATTTCAATTGGGTGACGGAAACGATGAACAAAATGATTATGATACAGACGCAAATTGGAAAAATCAAACAAATGGCGAACTCTTGAAAAAATCACCCAGTTTAAATGGAATTCAATCGAATAATGTACGACATGAGAATCGTTTGACAATCAATCAAATAATCGCACAGAAATTGCCCGAATTAAAAATTCTGGAACTATTGCAAAAGACTACATTACCGTTCAGTGCATCGCCCGATTTATCGAGAAATGATGCAACCATGACAAGTTTTGGTAAAAGCAGTCGATTGTCTGCTTACGATAATGTTGAAAGAGCTGCACATTCTGGCTATGGCACTTCGATGATGTGCCATGACAGTGCACATTCAGATGATGGAACAGTCTTTTCAGAACCATGGGATAGCTCACAATGGGACTCATTTTTGCCACATGATGGTAAGGAATTTAATACACAATTTTTTTACATTCATGAAAAAACGATTGACATTAATTTTTCCGTTTAGATACGATATCCGAGTCGATACACCTTTCCAAATGCCAACCAGCCATTTCTGAAGATGATACAATCATGGATGAAAATTATTCGCATAGAAATCATCAACCGCAAAAAATTGCGACGATTCTGCGTTCTCGCAGTTGTCGTGACCGCGAAGTGCTGAGTAAGTATTCTACCGAATATTTTTTACACTTAACGAGTTAGTTTTAATATACAAACAAGATTAAGTGACTGATAATGTTAGCTGAATTAAATCAGCTGAACGCCGACATCACAATCGATTCATACATACACACACGCGCGAGCGCAATTATTAAGGCAAGGTCATTGAATGATTACGCTCTTAACCATGGATTTTATTGAAATATTACTGTCATTCCATGCAGTCTTGATATAAATATCATTCAAATATTTGCGAAAAGATATGCACTATTTATCTTATACTATTGTACGACGTCGCTAGTTGTGAATCTCAATCCCATAAATAAAACCATTTTAGAAAGTAATCGGTTCAATTAAATAGTTTTCAAAGTCAAACCGTCGGTTGTCACGTGAAATTTAATTTTTGATATCAATTGCTAAATAACATGACTTTTCGTCCCAAATATGTTGTTTTTTTTTTCAATTGTTTTAATCGATTTTATTTATTGTTCGTTTTTATTGACCCTTTCAGCAGTTCGTTTAAAATACCAAATTTGATAAATGTTGAGAATTGAAGAAGAAAAAAAAATGTTGATTATCATCCTTCTATTATTATCAGCATTACATATTTAGAATGATTTGATACGAAACTAATTTTTGAAATCGCTGGCATTTTAATGATGTTTACGATATAGATTGCAATTTACGTGATACAAACATCAAACAATACAAACTGAGTCTCGTATCTCCGATTGGTCTGGCGTGATCGCACTTGAAAGTACTCTTATCAACTGACACACCATACATTTCTGTTTAGAAAAAGAATTCAGTTTCTATCACACGCATACACGCACACTGAATGTTGCTGAGAAAATAAATTCCAAAATGTATAACTTGATAGAGCGTTGACGCTTTCATTGTTATTGATCGCGCAAATGCAAACAAGAACAGGGCATATACTTTCTACACTTGACTAAATGTCCGATAAGTTTTCATTTAATCTATAAGCAGTAGCTTAGTTTGTGCATCTAATCCGAGGGCACCATTAATAGCCCAACTCTGCAATTGCATTAAATACGTCAATATTGTGTACAGAAATAGAATAAAAAGTAAATAAATATTCAAAATACCCGAATATTTATTATTTTATTGTGATGATTTCCCATGATTTTAATCATTTGCCCATTCAAAACATGATGAACTTCATAACATTTGTTGCAAATATTTAAAGTTCAAATCTCAAGTCAATATTTACTAATTTACTGTCTGCAGAATACAATCGCTCATGTGCTGAGAAGCAAACTTCCGATTGGCGAGAGAATGATTATCTCGTGATCGATCGTTGATTGAAGAAAAAAAGGGAAACTATTTATAAGTATTGTGTGTATAAAGAGTGTGCACTCGGAGCACATCATTAACTCGTTACGGTTCTGCAGTTGGCGTGTAAATATTAGAAACAATTTCAAAATCAATATTTGCCGTTGAGATATTTAGGTCAGGAAAATATTCAGTTTTTTTATTATTGTCGTTGCTTGAATGAAATATAGCCCAAAGAGTGAAATGACGGCCATACTATTTGTAAGCTACTGATCTTTTTTTTTATTGCTGTTCCAATTTGATTTGTTAAGAGAAAATGAATTATGCTTAAATGTCAAACGACGAATCACTGTTCTGAATTCTGAAAAGCGGCTCTGAGAAATTTCATTTGATTTATTGATATTTTCTCGACACTTTACTTTCCATTACGTCTTTCTATTTTGATACCGCCTTATTTTGCTTATCGATAGAGTTATTCGAGATGTATTTTGAAGGCAAATGCATTCTGATGCAAATGCATATTAATAATTTCATCATTTTTATTAGTCAAAGGATTTCACCGACCACTATTTACATCTGCATACGAAAAACAGGGAATTTCTAAAACATATGGGACTCATATCAATAGAAAAAAATTGAACAAATTTAGGGTGTGGCTTTTATAGCTGATTTTAAGGCAAATTGTAAGAGATAAACTCAAACATTGTTGGGACAGATTACTTCTTTGCCAAATGCTTATATTAAAAGTATGTATTTATTTATAAACGAAAATTTGACAATGAGACAACGCAAATAGAATTCCCTCTATCAAATTCCAACCGAAAAATGTAATCTGTGAACGAATGTACTCGTGCATGTTGACCCTTCATCTTCTATTCAATTTTTGTTGTTTTTCATAAGATGACTCTTTCAAAATTATTAAATTGTCAACTTTTGATCATATTCTCATAAAAAAAAAAACATAAAATTGCACAGATTGATTATCATTTATGCCGGTATAAAAAATGTACTAACCAAAATAGTAAATATAAAATAAGAA